GAACTGGACCCCCCACCTTGTCATAGTTCACCAGACCCCCCCCCATTATATCTCTGTACCCCTCATCATTATCTGCATCTGAGATATCAGTTCAGGTTTTGGGCTGAGAACAGATTTTCCATCCCCCACCGATCACACATTGCGCAATGTTCAATTATCTGCCAATATTCGATCAATCATATCACCAATTACACAGATAAAGGGAGTATAAAGAAGTATAATTGTGTATCGAATTCAATTGTTTCATATTGTTTCCAAATAACAATTGTTTTATGTACATACCTGCACCAAATAAAAAGGATTTATTGAAAGACATAAAAGAGGTGTCATCGTGTATCAAAAAAATCGAATCAAATTGTTTCATATATTTATGGCAAATATTAAAAATCATATATACTATAGAGCTACACACCGACTAAAGGGGATAGAAAGGCACCAAAAGAGGTAAAAACATAAAAATAAGTTACAATTGTTTCATAGATTTATTCCAAATGTTACAAATCCCGAAAATGTGAACTGCGCATGCGCCCGCCCCAAGAGGCTTTGCGGCCGCCGAGATTTTCGGAGGGGATCGCGCTGGGAAGACACAGGTGAGTTTAAACCTCTTTTAAAGTTTTGTTTTGTTTTTTAACACTTTTTGCATATATCTACTGCTTGCTACCCTCATATATATGCAAAAACACCGGAGGGTTTAATCATCCTTTAAAGGAGAACTATGAGGGTGCGGATCCCGTCATCTACGTCGGGATCGGCTCCGGCTGCGGCAGTCTCAGTATACTGTGAGCAGCAGATCCCTATATACTGAGCCTAGGGTGACGGGAGGACGCTAGTTTGTGTCCTCCCGTTACCCTTAGGAGAACTATGGGGAAAAGCCCTGACCCCGTAGTTCTCCTTTAAGTCCCCGTTTATTAGATATATATATATAGTCCAAATAAAAGAGATATAAAGGGAGCAAAGAAGTAAAAACACATAAAGAAAACTGTTACAATTGTTTTATTTATAGATTTATTCCAAATGTTGGGAACGTTTTGCATACAGATGCTTCACGTTGTTTATCATTCCATCAATTACTATCATCATAGGACATTATTAGTCTCAGTTCACAGTTTAGCACTGGGGGTGCGTCGCGGTAACGTGCGTTGCGTTAGGCAATCCTTCCATAATGAATGAGCCGATAACGCACCTCAACCACCAAGAAATCAGAGCTGTGGCACGAGGCAATGTGCTGCTGCATGGCGTGCGGCGGTGGTGCGGTGTGCGCCCCCCTCCATCGGCGCGGGGCGCTGGGTGCCATGCAGAAGGATTGCCTTGGCACGCCACCGGGGATTTTCATATCAAATAAAAGGATTTTTATTTAATACGAACCTGTTATCAGTAATACCCAGCGGTGTCACCAGGAGGGGTGCGGCCCGCACCAGGTGACACCGTCAGAGAGGGTGACACCGGAATGACCGTCATTTTGGTGTCACCCGCTCTGGAAAGTCGGTCACTCGGTCATGGACTGCTGCACAAGAGAAGAGGGGACCCGGCGGATAAACGTCCCCTCCTCTGTACAGGGCGCATGACGCCATTGCATGCGTGTGTGTGTGATGATGTCACATGTATACGCAACGACACCCGACCTGGTGTCTACGCTGCTAATACCTCCCGGCTTTATACCTGGGAAAACCTCTCTGCACCCCCCCACCCCAGCGTCTGTACATAATGTAATGCTTGCATTGGGGAGCGGTGATAGGTCAGACCGGTCACATGACTGCGCTGACCTTTAGCCTTACTGAACACACAGTAAAGTTATTTACATAGTGGTGGTGGTGGGGGG